TTTAGAATAGATGGGGTCCTCGTTCTCAGTTCGGATAGTGCCGACTATGTTTGTGTTATAAGGTAAATCCTTATTAGAGTCTGCAAATACATCGGTTCGATATTTTGTCGGTTTGATATTTTCAACTTTTGTGAAATTTACACTTGCACATTTACGCTTTGCACAATCGTTTTCGGGTCATGGGCAGACATTATAATGATCTTTCACATTTACTTTCGACAGGGCTCTCTCTTTGTTCTATCAAATCTATTCTTTATAATTATCTTCGGGGAAATCTCTGACCACTTACTGCTGTGAGTTGGGGCATAGCTTGCCGGACTGGCATTTAAAATTTCCCCCACCGGGTTGGAGATTTCCCTCTTTTTCGTCTCTCTAACATTCTCTTTTTCTGTTTCTCTGTCTCTCTTTCCTTTTTTCTTTTTCTCTTTCTACTTCGTACTTTTTCTAATTAGTTGTTAAATAGAATTAATTTTTCACCTTTACCTACTTTTTGCATAGTTTTTTAGGTCTTTAATGTCTCTGACCGCATATGGCTGTAAATCGGGGCATAGCTGGCCAATTGGCAAATAAAATTCCCCCAACGTGTCGGAGGCATTAATAGACGTCATTGTACAGCTTTGTGTTAGGCTTTCTTATCTTTTATTTTGTTTAGTTTAATTTGTTATATTAAGTTTTATAATATAATCGACAGTAGTATTGTTGATATTATGAATAAAATAAAATTAGGAAATTGTATTTTTTCTGATTCCGTGTCAATTATTAATCTTTGATTTTTAAAGTCTAGTTTTACGCTTGTTTGTTTTAGTAAGTCAAGTCCAATTATTCCGTCAAAAGTCGTAAAGTTGTGTAGTACAAAAAACGTTGCGTTGTTCAGATCTTGTATCTGTGCATCAAAACTTCTTTTTTGAGCGGCAAGTGCATTGTTTACTGCCGCTTCTATTACTGTCTGTAATTGCTCTGAAGACATAGCCATAAGTACCTAACTCCTATTCGTTTTGGTTTTTTACACGGACTCTACTATCAAGTTTTTTAAATTTGTCCAGCAAGTCTTCTATGTCACTGTCACACATAAGTTTTGTCACTACGCAAAGATTGGTATTTTAACTTTGTAACAAATTTTATTATATTCTTCTTTAAATTTGAATTGATAAAAAAAAATTTTAACAAAATTTTTTTTATTACGTATTTATTCTTTTAGTTTGTAAATTGTCAATGAGCGATCTACTTATCTAGATCGAATTCTAGTGTTGCCGCCGCCGTCGGTGTTGCCGTTGCCGCTTCTGTTGCTATTGTTGCCAGTAGAATTTCCTCTTTATTTTGTTGCTGCCGTCGGTGTTGACACTGTATGTTGCTTCAGTTATTGTTGTTATAACAATTTTATTTAAATAATTTGTTATTTAATTTTTGTATTCTGTTGCTGCCGTCGGTGTTGACGCTGTATGCTGCTTCAGTTGTTGTTGTTGCCGGTGGAATTTTTCCTTTTGTTCCGTTGCTGCCGTCGATGGTGACGTTGTGTTTTGTTGTTGCTGTAACAATTTTGTCTGAAGCTGCCGTCGGTGTTGACGCTGTATGCTGCTTCAGTTATTGTTGTTATAACAAATTTTATTAAAACACTTTATTATTTAACTTTTGTTTTCTGTTGCTGCTGTCGGTGTTGACGCTGTATGCTGTTTCAGTTGTTGGTGTTGTAACAGTTTTATCAAATTAATTTATTATTTATTTTTTTTCTTTTGCTGCTGCCGTCGATGGTGACGTTTTATGCTGCCGCAATTTGAGTGACTTTTGGGTTTTTTCACGTTGGGCGCCAATTAAGAAGTTCCTGACGTTGGTGATTATTATGTTCAACCGACTAAGGATTTATTATTCAATTAACACAGTGCATTGTTGCACTAATAAAAGACAAGAGCTCGTGTATTCCGAACGGTTTAATATCCAAAAGTCATCTAACTGCTAAGAACATTCTTTCTTATAACTAAAGCTAGCCCTGTACCTCAAACATGCTGACACTGCGCCTCGTGCATATCAGCTGCTTACATCGCGGAGCGTTGCACTCTGCAATGACGGTTTTCGTTGTGCAATATCTGCGGACGTTGCTGATCTTGCACTATTATCACGCCAGCTCTGCTATGTCGATTTGGCAACTTCTTTGTCGCTGAGTGGTCGTGTTAACTTATACATATATGTGTTTATACTCTGTACATAAAATGTACAAGAGTATATTAGGTTTGCGGGAGCTGAAAATCTAACAGGCAGAAGGAGGCGTGGCAGACCCCACAAAGTATATATATTCTTGATCAGCATGACGAGACGAGTCAATCTAGCCCTGTCTGTCTGTCTGTCCGTCCGTATGAACACCTGGATCTCAGAAACTATAAGAGATAGAGACATTATTTTTTTTATTCCCCCCCCCCCCCCCTCCCCCCCGTCCTATGGAGGGTTTCCCGTATAATCGCCTATATCTCGGAGACCATAAGACCTAGGGACACTAAATTTTAGTCCCCGATGCCTAATGTGAATACGCAGAAAATGTGTATTTTGGAATTTCCCTCCCTCCCCCCTCTCCCATGCAAATCGCGAGGTAAAATCGTTCAAAATTTTTTTTTAATTCTCTTGCTTTTGTTAATTTCTATAGTTATTCTAAACATATGTGCAGAGTATTTCAAAGTCGGGACACCCGACTTTTATATTTAAGAATTGTTGTTGGTTTTCTATTTAAACCTTTTTATATTTTCTTTTAGTTTTACTCCAGCAGCTTATAAAGTCTTACTCCTGTAGTCGTAGCTATCGTTAGGCCCAATTTTGACGTAGACGGCGGCATGTATGTTAGCGCACAAAATACAATTATAAGTTGAATATTGAATATTCAATAATATATACATATATAAATTCATATGAGGTTCACTTCCAAGCCAGAAGATTAAGAACATAACATTTAAGAACATAAATTAAGCATTTTTATTTTTAATTTTAAAATTGATTAAGTAACATTTATGTATGAGTTTAATAAGGAAGAACTGAAATTATTATTATTTTTGATTTTAACCAAGAAAACTTTGCTAGTGCCCACTGTAAGTTTGTTTGTAAGTTTAGACTAAAGTAGTGCGCGCGGGCGCTAGACTACATTAGCACAACCGTATCTAGGGTGGCTTAGTCGCTGGCTGGTATGTAAGACTCAGTACTTATCCCCAATCGTTTCCTTTAAGTCTACACCCAAAGCAAGGGTGTGCTCAATTCTTGATGCAGGTTACGAAGATCCGCTTCCCAAGTGATTTGGAAACTTCGCATTTGGTATGAAAATGCCTTCAATAAAATATACTCGATCGGGGAGATATGTACGTGTGGGGCGGCGTTGCACGTAGCCGTTTCGCCCGTGTATGGCCGTGGAGTGGCGAATGTTACGAAATGATAATGTTGCGGAATGGCAGATGTTGCGGAAAACTATCAATCCACTGTTTCCGAATCTTCGGCTCAAACATCGCCAGTTGCCTTGGCCAGTGCTTTTTAAACAAGCCTGCAAAAACAATTGTGACTATTTGCACTTTCCCTTTACACTCATCCATACCTTTTTTATTTAAATAACTGGCACTATGCAGTTAGTAAACCCTTTGGGTCAATTCTTGTGGCGTAGGAAAAATTTTGTAATTGTTCTTTTTTTTATTACACCCACGTGGTTCTATATTTACGGAATATTACTAATTACGTTCACTGTCACTGGCGTGGGTTTTTATTTCTTCGACTAACTGAAGCGAAGTTCTGCAACCGATCAGACCTCCAATGAAAGCTCGACTTACACGAGGGTGGGTCATTCGTATGCAAAATTTATTTTATATTTTTGTAGCATATTGCAAAAAAAAGAAATAGTTGGTTAAACGGATACTACAGGCTCTCACAGCAAATGTTGATACTTTACAAGCTATGTTTAAGGAGCTGCAGCAGACAAATCACTTTCTCAAACAAAACAACACGCAAACAGGACATATCCTACTTCCCTTGTAACCCGGTGACGACGGTTCAACTACAAATAGCTACTATTCAAGTTGCAACAAGCCTCGCTCCGAAGCTCCCATGGTCAGAAACAGACCTCAGCCTGCTGTTTACCAACCTTGGAAGTAAATTTATCATTGGAGGGGAACATGTCTGCAAAATTCAATCCACAACTCTTCTCTCCAAATTCTGCCAACTGGACAAGCAACACACACTCCTGATGTAGCAAATCATACACCAAGCGCTATTGACTTTTACGTCATTCAAGGAAACGTCGAATTAAGATTCCCTCGGATCGCCTATCCTTAGTAACCACTTATGATTCTATCCCGGTCATCAAGGCTCAGAAGGGACCAGATATAGCCGTATTTCGTCGAAAGTTGGAGGATACTCTTGATCTGAAATTGGAAATCTTGGTGTCAGAAGACATCGAGGATGCGCATGCCATCTTTCTGAATAAGGTTCATACAGGTAATGCTAATTAAAAAAAGCAAATAGGGTAAAGAAACGGTACTTCAGAAGCATAATGAAAAAGACCGACTTCTTGCAAATGCTTCCACTGATACAAGCTCTAGGCGCTCACTGTGGACTCTGGCGAAAAGATACAAACAGCAAGTGGCAGCTAAGTTCCCAATAAAAAGGTCTGACGGAATCTGGGCCAGATCGCCAAAGGAAAGAGCTGAGGCGTTTGCACGGTTTCAGCCATTTAGTACCAGCTCAACAACCATATTACTGTGGACGAAGTCACAGGACATATAAAAAGCAAAAAGACTCCAGGTGAAGATGACGTTGACAATTATATCATAAGCACATACCCTGGGTCATAATGACACTAAGTGACAGGGTCAATAAGATGAGATGGCTGGTTAGAAACCAGCAAAAAAACTGTCACTCAGAAACAAGGCCACCGTATACAAATCCTGCATCGCTCCTTTTTGGCGATATGGCCTTCAGGTATACGGAATCGCTGCAAAATTCCACCTGGAGAAATTCCGAAATCTTGTTCGCCTGCTAACCTTGGAGTGCAGGAAGTTTGTCCTTGGAAGTCCTCAACGAACAAGCTTCACAGTGAGCCGTCTACGAATCCACGCAAATCTACTCGCAAAGCGTTTGCTGAAACGGCGCAGAATTGGAAGAGCTACAGTTAGAAGAAGACTAAAGAGGTCACACCCTATAGACCTAGCCAACAGATTTATATAAATTTAAAATATAAAATTGTAATTAAGACTGAACACCTAATTTAGTTGTATTTGTATTTATCTATAAGTTTAATTTAAATTATAAAATTAACAGTTAAATTAGAGAAAAAAAAGTAGTTAAACCAGAGTATTCACACACAGCATCCAAAATAACCGAACAATAGGGAGTCCCATTGACCAAAATAGAAAATTACATTTTTCGAACATCACATTTTGCTGAGTTAAGTCTTATTTTGTAAGTCAAACGCAAGCTAAAAATAAAATATATATTTAATGAAGTTCTTGTTTCAATTAAGTGCCAAATAACTGTGTATTAATTAAACAAAGTTGGCAAAAATTGTGTGTCGCTGAGTGGTCAGGTCCGTTGTTACAAATGCTGTGCATAACAGGGCTGTCATGTGAATTGCATAGCTTGACGGAAAATAACTTTAAATTTTATGTTGATGATTTTTATGAGTAAAGCGAGTGCCGTTTAATTATCTAAAGCAGACTTGGAGGGGAAGTTCGAAAACATTAAATCTTTCGAAGTTCTGTGGCACCGACGCTATACTAGTTTTGTGCGTGTAACACACACAAGAAGCCTTGGCAGACCCCACAAAGTATATATAATTGATCAGGATGACAAGCGGAGTCGATATAGCCCTGTCCGTCCGTCCGTCTGTACGCAAGGATCTCAGCAAGTACAATTACGGATTCTCCTATGGTATAGGCTATAAATACTAAATATGACAATATAAGGGCGCTAAAACAAGGGGTACAAACATAGTAAGCGCTGAGACGAAGCTGAAGCCGAAGCTGTAGACAAAAAACTGTGCACAAGCAAACATATGAATTCGCTTAAAAGTGTAATGAATGTTCAATAAGATTTTATTGATGTCTAATGCCCTATGTCACTTCATTTTGATTTGTCATCAGATTTATAAAGCTAATGGTTTCTATTAAATACAAAAAGTTTTAAAACAAACGATATTTTCACAAATTAAAAGAATTTAATAAAAAACAAGAAAGGAATGATAAAGTCGAGCAGGCTCAACTCTTAAATACCCTGTACCTCCCACCAAAAAGAAAACAAAATTTTTTATTTTTTTTTTAAATTATATTTTTCAGCAGCAACAACAACAGGCAGCGGTTTTATTTATGGCTATAACTTTCTTCAGAATTCATGATGAAACATGGCACACGGACATATAATCACTAACTGGATGTACGTGCCATTATTATTTCAAAATTCCAAGAATTACGGAATTTATAAAAAAATTCGAATTGCGGTGGAAGGGGGGGGGGGGGGGGTGTATTAAAATAAAAAATAAACTTGACCTGCCTAGGAGTAAGGGGAACCTCGATTGGTTATTCTAGCTCTTGTACTTCCCGAGATCCTTGCGTTCATACAGACAGACGACTTGTCTTGTCATCCTGATCAATAATATACAGACTTTGTGGGGTCTGCAACGCCTCCTTCTGCCTGTTAAATACATTCGTACAAAACTAGTATAGCCTTTTACCCTTTGGGTTCAGGCTATAACAAAGAAAGTATAACATGGAAAAATAAAAATTCAATTATGGCCAAGTAGCAAAGAACAGCAAGGGAGTGGCGGATGAATTAGAAAAAAACACAAACTTCATCTGCCTAGGGTTTAGGCGAACCGTCAAACTGTCAAGAATATACATACATATGTATGTACATACATACATACATATATGTAAGCGTATACTTTGAGAAATCTGCCAGACCTCCTTCTGTGTGTGACATATGTATGTACATTCGCACTAAACAAGTACACGCTTTGGGTACAGGTTACAAAAAGAAATCGTGATTTATTTAATTATTTATATTTCTTGCAGAAACTTCATTGGTACATACAAGTATGTATGTACATACATACATACATACACGTAGCACAACAGCCTGTGATTGTTATAAAAACTAAACGATTTCATAATATGTACCCTTATATCCTTCGGGTACAAGGCATTTGAACTCACTTGCATGTTGATAATGTCGATTTTAGCACTGTTACATTAATATCCACGAGGGAGTTAATTTTTCTTACACGAAATAAATTAATTCACCATTAACGAATGTAATCTTTATGTTAAAGTCACTTTAATTGTAAAGAAAAACAGACTACTATTTTTTGTCTCTCATTGACAGGTAATAAACTTATCTAATTGAAAATATTTAAAACGTTAAACAAGTAAATACTAATTAACAACCTTCAACCGCAAAATACTGTAGGCATCATTGCACATAAGTACTAATATGTGTACTATACTATATGTATATATGTATGTACTAAGGTTGCAAAAAACATCGATTTTTTAACATCGTAGATAAGGAGTATTCGATTCTTAATGATGTTTTATTTGAGCGCGAATCATCGATATTTAGGCAAATGTAAGTAACTCAAAAATAAAAGAAATCTTGTCGGAGGCTCAAGAATTCAAACTAAACATGAATTGCATATACAGGGTTGCCATAGAAATCTCCGGAGATTTCGCCTGCAGTTGTTTTTGCAATCTCCAAAAAAATCTGTCGGTGTCACAGAACTTCGAAAAATTTCATTTTTTCGAACTACCGCTCAAGTCAACTGTCAGTCACAGCTGACTGTCGACGTTTACATTTCACTGAGTAATTCAGCATAAATCCAGTAACGCACTCATCTGTCAGCAGCTCGACGATTACATTTGACTGACTAATTGTGTTTGAATTCTGTAACGTAATAAGTTAAATAAAAAACCAAATATGACATTTGCATAAATAATAGCTGTTTAATTAATACAAAGTTAATTGGTACTTATTCGAAACAAGAATTGCGTATTGTATTGTATTTTTAACTTTTGTTTGACTCACAACTTTTAAATTAACTCAGTAAAATGTGATGTTCGAAAATTTAATTGTTCTTGTTTTGGATGCTAGTGTTTTTAGTATTCATTTAGTAATTTGCTAATGTACTAATATTTAAATATTTTTGACGCAGATCGTTCATAAATACTATAAAGTTTATATTCCAATGATTTTTTTTTTCTGAGGAAAAATCGATGCTTTGTACTTTATTTACCAGCTGGAGTAGAGGTTTGACGATACATCGACGATACATCGATGTTCCGAAAAAAATATCAAACATCGATGTATTATTTTCCACCTCGATTTTAACATCGATGTTTTTAACTTCTCTAAAAGCACAAAAGGCGGCAAATGTGTAAGTACAACTCTTTATTATTTATTTGATATATATATAATATTTAATATATATATACTTATAATATTAAAACATGGATTATCTTAATATAATTGTTTAGTAAACGTAATAAGAGTGGTTGGATTCTGTGGTGGTGTTGGAGGCGACAGTGAAGCGTAACCATGGACAATATTTAAAATTAAGAGTTTAAAAACATCGATGTTTGCTAAACTCGATGTTTTCCAACCTCTAAGCTGGAGGCACTATCCCCTACAACATGTACATATGGTTAGTGATATAGGTGGAGAAGCATCGATTATATTATTAATGCATCGATGTTTTTATAGTTTTGTAGCTATAGATGTTTTTTTACGACATTATGAAAGGGAAGATCACTGCGTTGAATTGATGGCGTTATTTTATTTTGTACATTAAATTAATTTTTAAATGTGTCGGTAAGCTTTGATTGGTGGTGTTGGCAGCGATCGTGAAAAGTAAGAAAACTTCAAATGCATCCCGCACGTCACGCATTAACATGACATTTAAAATATAACAGAGTAAGAGCACTAACCATACAACATAATACATAGATGCTGCATTTCATAAAACGAAAACGTATAGCTGTTCGGGTATTTGCCGAATGGGAGCTGTCGCACTTCGGCTGAGCCAACTGGGAGCATTCGCATTCGTGCTCTCCAGTGCTGTCATTTTAGCTTTTTTCCCGCTAGATCTGGATTTTTTTGAATGCCAGTGCGGAAAAAATTCGAAAACATCGGGTTGCGGGAATTCTAGCTTAAACACAAAATTTATTTAGCCTTTTTCTAGCTTTACTTAATTTTTCACCATATATTTTTTTCCTTATCTTTGTTAACACTTAAAATCATGAATATCTTCTTCTTCTTCTTGACTGGTCTTCAAACCCGTTATCGGGCTATGACCTGACGTAACACAGCTCTCCACGCGCCTCGTAGAGCTCGTACAGTTCGCTGTTCCATCGTATGCGGTAGTCGTCGCCAACGCGTATGGGACCGAAGATCTTCCGAAGCATCTTTCTCTCAAACACTGCAAGAGCTGCTGCATCAGTCTGCGATATCACCCATGCTTCTGCACCATAAAGCAGCACGGGGAGGATGAGCGTCTTGTAGAGCGTTAGCTTGGTTTTTCGGGAAAGGTCTCTGCTACTCAATTGCCTACTGAGGCTGAAGTAGCATCGATTGGCTAGAGTTAATCTCCATTTGATTTCTAGGCTGACATCGTTGGTTGCTGTGACGGTGGTGCCAAGATACATAAAATCTTTCACCATTTCGAAAGTATAGTTTTCCACCGCGATCTGGGAGTCTGGTTGCCGCGTGTCCCTGCTAGAGGAAAACATATACTTAGTTTTGCTCTCATTTATCACCAAACCCACTTTTGCAGCTTCCTTCTCAATAGCCGCAAATGCTCCGGTGACGCCTCTCCTGGTACGGCTGATAATGTCTATATCATCAGCGTACGCAAGAAGCTGAACGCTTTTAAAAAAGATCGTTCCGCCTCGGTGTACACCAGCTTTGCGCACCACACTCTCCAGCAGGAAGTTGAAGAGATAGCACGAGAGGGCATCGCCTTGCCTGAAACCTCGAACGGTATCAAAGGGTTCGGAGAGGTCCTTTCCTACCTTGACGGAGCTACGAGTGTTGCTCAACGTCATTCTGCAAAGTCGCACTAGCTTTGCAGGGATACCGAACTCAGACAGTGCGGCATATACACGTTCCCTCCTCGGGCTATCGAATGCTGCTTTATAATCGACGAAAAGATGGTGGGTATCGATTTGAAACTCATGGGTTTTCTCCAGGATTTGGCGTAGCGTGAATATCTGGTCAGTGGTGGATTTACCAGGCATAAAGCCGCACTGATAAGGCCCAATCAGTGCTATCGCAAATGGCTTTAGCTTATCACACACTACGCTTGATATGACCTTATATGCGACGGAAAGAAGGCTGATTCCACGATAGTTGGTGCAGACCGTGGGATCACCTTTTTTTAGGACGGGACATAGGACACCGAGATTCCAATCATCAGGCATGCTTTCAGTTAGCCATATTTTGCAGATGAGCTGGTGCATGCACCCTACCAACTCATCGCCGCCTGCCTTAAACAGCTCCGCAGGCAGCCCATCTGCTCCCGCAGATTTGTTGTTTTTGAGCCGCTGGATGGCTGTTTCGACTTCGTCATGGCTAGGTGACGGTACTTCAATACCATCGTCGGCGATCGGTTCTGTGGGGTCATCTCCGCTGGCGGAATTGTTAACATCTTCGCCTGATAGAAGATTGGAGAAATGTTCCCTCCACAGTCTCAGTGCCGCTTGCCCGTCCACCACCAGATTTCCTTCCGAGTTCTTACAGGCTGACGCTGCGGGCTTAAAACCTTGTGTTAGACGCTTCACCTTCTGGAAAAATTTCCTAGCGTCGTTCCTGTCTCTACAAAGCTCCATCTCCTCTCGCTCTCGCTTTTCTTGCTCTCTCTTCTTGCGTCTAAAAAGCCGCCTCTCCTCCCTCTTCTTCTCACGATATACATCATGCACAGCGCGCGTTGTCGCCGTCTGCAGGGTTCTTTTGTACGCGGCATTCTTCGCTGCAGTGGCTTCGCGGCACTCCTCGTCGTACCATTGGTTTCTCGGTAGCGGCTGTTGGAAACCAATGACATCTTCTGCGGCTGTGTGCAGTGAGCGGGAAATATGTGCCCAAAGTCCGCTACCAGTATCGGTTTCCGAGAACGGTTGAGAAAGCAGCTCAGAGAGTTGAGCGGAGTAAGCTTCGGCAGTCTGTTGTGCTAGCAGCTTTCCGACGTCTAGTTTTCGCTGCGTGTTGGGGCGTACATTTTTCGCCATGCATAATCGCATGCGGACCTTGGCTGCAACAAGTTGGTGGTCCGAATCAATATTCACACCACGGAACGTACGCACGTCCAGCACACTGGATGCATGCCTTCCATCTATCACAACATGGTCTATTTGATTTTTTGTCATTCGATCGGGTGACTGCCAGGTAGCTTTGTGGATATCAAGGTGTTCAAATCTGGTGCTACTCACCACCATGTTTCGTGCTGCGGCGAAGTCAATTAGCCTCAGTCCATTGTTGGATGTTGTCTCGTGGAGGCTGAATTGTCCGACTGTCGGGGCAAAGACGCGCTCTCTTCCAACCTTGGCATTAAAATCGCCAAGAACAATTTTAATGTCATGAGAGGGGCAGCGGTCATAGACTGTCTCCAGTCTCGCATAGAACTCGTCCTTGGTAATCTCGTCTTTGTCCTCCGTCGGAGCGTGGACGCAAATCAGGCTTATGTTGAAAAATCTCGCCTTGACACGGATGGTTGCCAGCCGTTCGTTCACAGGTGTGAACCTAGAGACACAGTTACGCAATCTCTTGCTGACCGCAAAACCGCATCCAAATTCGCGTCTTTCTGCATGGCAGCTGTAGTAGATGTCAAAGGCTGCTCTTTGGGAGCAACCCTGACCTGTCCATCGCATTTCCTGGATGGCGGTGATGTCAGCTCTTACTTTATTGAGAGCATCCGCCAATTGGATAGTAGCACCTCCTCTGTTAAGGGTCCGGACATTCCAGGTGCATATCCTTAAATCGTGGTCCTTTAAACGTTTGCTAGGGTCGTCAACTTTTGGGTGTTCCTTATCCGAGGCTGTTGTTATGTCCTTCACTGGGAGTAAAAAATTTTCATGTGGTGGGTCCCAAGCCCTACGCACAAAAGCGCTGCACACATTTGCTCACTTACCAACTCCGGATGGAGCCGGAAAGCTACCCAGAGAGCACCGCGAGGAGGTCGTGTGTCAACTTGATGATGGCAGAGACAAAGATCACTCTGGCCATTTCCACGTTAATGGCAGTCAGAAGCTTTACATTGTTCTACCAAAATATAAAATCATGAATATAAGCTGTGATAAACGACTTTCGATAATAAAATGTATCCAAAT